CTTCGCGGCGGGGTCCTGCCCTCGTGTTTCGGTTGTCTCCGCCGCCGTATGGAGCGATTTCTGCAAACGGGGTTGCTTGCAGAAGGTGGGGCAGGCGAGGGTAACTTTTTCGTGTCGCTTAATATGCCGAGCTAATTTATTGGAAAGGCTGAGCAGTATGTTTCTTTTAGGTAAAAATGGCTTGGAAAGTTGGACGTTTTAGGAGCCCATGTTCGCTAGAAAGCTAAGGCTGTAATATGGTAACCGGCCTTAGTTTGTTGTTGGTTTGGGGTGTTTTACACGGTGCCCTCATAATTCCAGTCATGCTTGTAAGGATCGTTAAGATTTATTAGTTGGGAGGAGAAATATAGCAAGTTAAGGAGAAGGCCTTTTCAGTTATGTGTATGGACCACTTGATGCAGCACTGTGGAAGTTTGCTGTGTGAAATCAGTAGGACAAGGGGCTTGCTGATTTTAAAAGCCAGAGCCCTTAAGTGTCCGACAGTTAGTTCTTACTCTGCTTTTTCCTTGGTTAAGAGTAGCTACTTTGCTGTTTTAACTCTTTTAGTACTGAGAAACTGTATTTTTTTCTTGGCTTTACTGAACTTGTAGGTTTTCTTCCAGATTACTTCACCCTCTGAAACTAATGTTTTATAGTTGAGGGCTTAATATTTCTACTTACACAAGCCTTCTGAGTAAATATAAGTAAATGTAAAGCTTGTCTAAGTCTTGTCTGTGTCCGGAGGAGGTGGAGTGTAGGGGAAGGAAGTGCAGTGGAAAGAAACACATGTCCTCAGATATTTCTCTCTGTTCTTATTAACACCTAGTTTTGTTTGGTTTGAAACTATGAAATCTGAAGGATTGCAGTGGGCATTAAAACTGTTTGGTGGGGGTTTTTAAGCTGTTTAATAAGAAAGTAGCCATTAAACACCTGAATGCTCTTCTTGGCATAAACTTTAAGACTGCTCATACACCAAAAGTTAGCTTTAAGGAGGCAGCATAAATCTATCATAGCTTTGTTGTTATGCACTATTTATGTTTTATGCTGTGTGTTGTATGTGTAGACCAGGACATTTTGAAGTGATTCTTGAACTTCATTATAAGATGTTGTTTTCAAGTTTATCAGATGTTTCAAATGAGAGCTGAGCTTCATAGGAGGAGCCCGAACGTGATATGCCCAGTTTCATCAGTAAAGCAGATGTAACTTCTAGGGGTATTGGCTGCTAGCACTTCTTAATTTTCTTTCAAGTAACTGGAGACAAACTAATTATGTGTGTAATTCAAAAGCAATTTTACTCAAAGTTCATAAATGGAATTGTCTTTCAGGCAGAGATGAAGTCTGGGGAGTCATCACATCCAAAGGTAAATGTTTTATAATGTGATTAGTATATGAAAATAGGACTTTTTAATATTAAAAATGTAGACAAAGACAAAAAATACAACAGAATTTGTGGCAAATACGAGAGTAATTTCAGCTGCTGTTTAAAATGAATGAAAAGTTGTTCCCAAGTACTTGTAAGTATGCGTTTGAGTTTTTATGATCTTCAGTTGATAATGACATTAACCATTTAAGAATAGCATTAGGGCACAGCAGAACATTATTAAAGTGTCTTGATCATAGTTTATTTTTTTCATCAGAATTTCTGTTGTTATGAGTGATTTATATTTTCAGTAGTTAATTATGGGATTTTTAGCTCATCTGATAGAACACAGAGGTCTGCAGTAATTCCTGGGCTGTGGGTTCAGCGGTGGAGATACGTAGATACAGACGTGTGTGTGCGTATCTACATATGGGCCTGTCTCGGTGGCATAAAATTGAAACTTATCACTTCCAAATTTTATTTCTGTTTTGAGAGGCAATACAGTTCTGTGGCTGTGTAAACTGAACCGGTCTTTAGTGGCCTTCAAGCTGAAGGAACAGCAGCAGTCTGGTTAAGTCTTACTTTCCTTAGGTCTTGACATTGAACTGGGCCGCATTGCTCTCCTGCTGTGTTAGTGGCTTCCACGACAGAACTTTGTATTTCAATATTGCCTTCTGCTTGTCTCTTAAGTTTACAAGCATCATCAAAAAAACCACTTGCAGGAACCATTAGCATTCACAAAGGCTGGCCTTTCTAAGGCAGCATTATCAGAGGGACAGGAGGAAATGTGGAGCAGATAGATGCTAGAGAAAAGACTGCTGATCGTGACTAAGAAAACATCTGTGAGGAGAATGCAGAGGAACTTAGTTTATGTTGTCGGGAGAAATTCAAGGTAGGTTACATATCTGGAGGTTAATAAACATTGAAGTACAAGTAAAGAATTCAAGTTACCAAGTCTCCCTTCCTGTTAAGTATTAGGAAATATTTTCTAGTGGTAAGAGTAGCTCAGAACAAGAACAGCTCCTGTAGGAATTTCCGTTAGTGTAAGTGTTACCTAGGAAAACATCTACCAGGTAGAACGATATGGTTCTGCTCTTGATGACTTGTTTATTTGTCACGGACATTGACTTTCGCAACAAGCTTTAAAAAACAACAAAAAAATCTCCTTTGTTCTTGTGATATGGTTCTGCTCTTGATGACTTGTTTATTGTCACGGACATTGACTTTCGCAACAAGTTTTAAAAAACACCAAAAAAATCTCCTTTGTTCTTGGTTTCATAGCCTCTAAGCTAGTTTAAATAATCAGAGGTTATAAAGTACTGTTACTGTGTGCTGTAAAATGGGGTGTGAATTCTTGTTGTAGGAATTACTTGACAATTACTTGAAATACAGTGCTGCAATATAATGTTCCTTCAAAAAACTAAGGGCTTTTTAGTGAAGAAAGAATGATATCCAAGGGGGTAATGTTTTATCTACGAGATTTGAAAAGGAAATCTGTAGAGAAACCTTATTTCCCTGGCTGAAACAGAACTTCAACTAGCCTGCCACTGGCCAACTTGCTGACTTCCCTTGGTTTCAGTGTCTCCATCTGTAATAGATGGATGACATTTCATGCCATCTCTCTGTAGAGCTGTGATCCATCTAACAGGAGAAGGCAATATAACTGAGATAATCCTGTTAAACAGTCAGCCATTAAAAAAGAATTAATTAGTCATACTCGCAGATGACAGAAATTGATCAAAGTTCTCTTCTAAAAGACATGAAGGGCTGCATGTTTCTTGCCTTGACTGGGACATCAGGCAGATATGGAGCAAGTCCATAAGGTTCTTGTAGTCTAGGCACAGAAGTAATCTTGTCTGGAAAGACAAACAGCTTTGTCCAGGTGGTGGGTCTGCTCTGTTTCTCGGGTTGACCAGCTCAGACATCAAGTCTAAATATATTGTTCTCCCTTTCCTTCCCTGTCGCTGCACACACACCCCACCCCTCCCCCCCACGCCCCCCCCAGAACTTTCCCTGATTATTCTGGCATCCTATTAGTCACAAAAATTAGAGATACAGGAGAATTGCAGCACGTGCTCTTCCTAATTCAACGTAGAGTTTTCGCATGGTAGGGTTTCGCACTGAAAGGTTTAGAACTTCTATCCAGCACAACGGTAATGGGAAATGAAGACCATGAAGAGATTTGTTTGTTTGTTTGTTTCTGAGGTGGGTGTGTGTAGTCTTGCAGTCTCAAATCTCATAGACTTCAAAAAGGGTTGAGGAACACCTTATTGCTCCCTGAAAATTGGTATATTAGCTTACCCTTTTTATTTATGTCCTTTATGATTCTGCTTGTGTCATCTTCTAATATTCAGGTCAAACAAGATAATGCTTGGACGGCCTGCCACTTCAGGCTCCATAGGAAGCATGGTTTGTAGCTTTGGGAATGAGCTTGTATTGGCTTGGTTTAGAGTCTGTTCTAGGCCTGTGTGCTTGTTTGAGAAACCATTGTTTTCCTTTCTAGTGATCTTTCAATTGGTATTGGAAGGAGATGGGGAAGAAACTAGGAGAAACTTGTATCTCGGTTCTCTAGCTAACAAATCTTGCAGTAAGATGTGAAGTAAGAGACATGGTCTGATTGAAGCCTGGAAATGGACAGAACTAGAGAAGTTTCACGTAGCTGGGAAGAAAACTTGAATAGTCATGTGGTTGTTCATTAGTGCAGAGTAGTCAGCTTGTCTTAGAAATATGTAGGTGAGTATGTCATGTTTGTGGCTGTGTAGTTTGCCTTCTTGCTAACTGCCTAGTTGGTAGGATGTTTGAGTTCTAGTTGGTAGGATGTTTGAGTTCTAGTTGGTAGGATGTTTGAGTTCTAGTTGGTAGGATGTTTGAGTTCTAGTTGGTAGGATGTTTGAGTTCTAGTTGGTAGGATGTTTGAGTTCTAGTTGGTAGGATGTTTGAGTTCTAGTTGGTAGGATGTTTGAGTTCTAGTTGGTAGGATGTTTGAGTTCTAGTTGGTAGGATGTTTGAGTTCTAGTTGGTAGGATGTTTGAGTTCTAGTTGGTAGGATGTTTGAGTTCTAGTTGGTAGGATGTTTGAGTTCTAGTTGGTAGGATGTTTGAGTTCTAGTTGGTAGGATGTTTGAGTTCTAGTTGGTAGGATGTTTGAGTTCTAGTTGGTAGGTTTTGCAACTCCAGTAGCAAAGTTTTTGTATATGCTTCTCATATATATATCTCAGAAGTAGACACACAGCAGCTGTACCTCAGTAGCATAGCATTTTGATAATATTCTCCTACTGAAATGAAAGTGGAAGCAATGCACAAATGAAACTAACGTGGCTTATAAAATCAGTGGTATCAGTCTTCAAATAACAATCCTTAGTGTGTATGGGATAGCCATCTGCAACACTTAATCACCTTAAGTAAGACTTTCATGACTTCTTTGGGTTTTAGTAGTTTTTAATGATGGGTCTCTTGCTCTTTTGTGAACAACTTGTTGAGAAAGCATTTTTGGAGTCTCATTTTGTAAAAAAGTTGGCAAAATTTTAAATAGCATGGATAAGGAGGGTGTTTTTACTGTGTTGTTATCAGTGTTCTTATAGTCTTGAAATGTTTGCAGCTTCTTTAGGAAATTCTCTTACAAATTAAAGTATCTACTGTATGTGTCTCCTAATTAGTGTGACTTCTTTACTAGAGAAATGGATCACAAGAACTAAACTTTCATAAAGACAATGTGCGTACTTGGATGTGGATATTGAACACGAGCTCATAAGTGATGTGAGAGAACAAAGTTGAGCTAACTGTTCTCTAGACTGTATTTCACCAGTTTAAAGTATTTGGAGTAGATACACTATATAAAAGCTCAATTTCACGTTACCTTTGGTTAATATGTGACTGATTTATATCTACTTGTCGCATAAAATAGAGGTGGCAGTTTTTCCTGGTTGTATTGGGTGCTCATCGTGCAGTTGCAGCCCTCTCCAGTAGTATTAGTCCATACAGCTTATTTTGGTGCAGGTTCTGCGTCTTATTTGAATGCTTGGATGCATCTCTGCGTGTGGAGCTCCTTTGGAGTTAATTCAGCTTCTTACTGCACTACATCATTTTAGGAGGTTGTAACTTTGAATGTGTGTAAACGGTCGTTATTCTTTGCTGTATGACTTAGAGTGTTCTTAGGCGAGTGAGCTGGTGTTGTCAGTTCCAGGCAGTATGGTTATTCAGCTCAGTGGCAACTGCATGGTTACTGTAGTTCTCATGTAGGTTTGGCAGTTTTTGCCTGTTTCCATATTACACTTGAACCCAGCAGTGAATAATGTGAGAGATTCTGTGTATGCTGTGAGCCATAGCTGTCTCTTGTGGTTGGAATGAAGATTTAATCCATTCTCGTTAACATCGTTCCTCATTTGATGCTCTGTGCGTGGTTTTGTCGTGAGTCTGTTTTCATGTTTGGACTTTTCAGTAATTGTGCTTTTCATTGGTCAGAGAATGATGTGGTTAGCTGACTGTTTCCAGTGGTAATATTGTAGGTCTGGTTGTATGATGATACAGTCTTTTGTTCAGCTGAAAATTTAGGATGGGTTACTGCTCTGATAGTGGAAAACTATCATTATAAATCAGAACCAATCCAAATATAGTGAAACAGCTGCCATAAATGTAACTACAATGTGGTATCTTACTATAGAGGAGTCTCTTTCTTCTGACCAGTTGACTTGTTGCTCTGTAATCACAGTTGATCAAGATTCTGGAAGACGGCCACTAAACGGCCACAGCAGACCCGGTGTGCATTGCGAGCCTGCGCTGGTTGCAGAGTGAAGTGCGCAGGCTTATGGAAAGCTCCTCTTGGCCTTAACCAGTAACAACTTTAGAAACAAGGACTGGTTTTGTTTGTGTTCTCTGGATTCTAGAATTACTTACCTGAGAAGCTTTGACAAACTGGTGATAGTCTGTATGGTTGTTCTGTTGGTCGGTAGGGAAGGCTGAGGGAAAACCTACGTTATTGTGGTCCCAGTCAACCAATTTCCTAGTGCTGCTGATGGACCCTGCCTGCTGAAATAATGTAAATGGGATTTTGAAGAATTCTAAAGCTTTTTCCTTATGATTGCTTTTTTGCTTGTTTTACAGGGTTGAATGGTTTCCAAAAATTCGAAGGGAGTTTGCCACTGAGTTTGATGTTTATGCTTTAATGTACTGACTTGCCATTAATCTTTGGCAAGTACGAATGCTTACATCGCTTCCTTTTTCTTTCCCCTATATTTATACCTGTATGTTTGGGTCTTTTTTTTTTTTTTTTTTACAGGATTTACTTGGAGTAAAAGATCACTGACTTCTACAATGGAAAAGTCATGGATGCTTTGGACCTTTGTTAAAAGATGGCTGCTAGCTTTGGCTTCCTGGTCTTGGAGTCTCTGCCGTATTTGTCTTTTGCCCTTGATAGTAACTTTTCACTTGTACGGAGGCATTACACTACTTATATTAATATTTGTATCAATAGCGGGTATATTATATAAATTCCAGGATGTGCTGCTTTACTTTCCCGAACAGCCCTCTTCATCACGCCTTTATGTTCCTATGCCTACTGGAATACCACATGAAAATATCTTCATCAAAACCAAAGATGGAGTTCTTCTCAATCTTATTCTGCTGAGATACACAGGGGACAATGCAGCGTATTCTCCCACCATCATTTACTTTCACGGGAACGCAGGCAACATCGGCCACAGGTTGCCAAATGCTTTGTTAATGCTGGTAAACCTGAAAGTAAACTTAATTCTTGTCGATTATAGAGGGTATGGAAAAAGTGAAGGAGAAGCAAGCGAAGAAGGTTTGTACTTAGATTCTGAGGCTGTGTTAGACTATGTGATGACTCGGTCTGATCTTGATAAAACAAAAATTTTTCTTTTTGGCCGTTCCTTGGGGGGAGCAGTAGCTATTCACTTAGCTTCTGAAAATTCCCATAGGATTTCTGCCATCGTGGTGGAGAACACCTTTCTTAGCATCCCGTACATGGCCAGCACTTTGTTTTCTTTCTTTCCGATGAGGTATCTTCCTTTATGGTGCTACAAAAATAAATTTCTGTCCTACAGAAAAATCTCTCAGTGCAGGATGCCTTCTCTCTTCATCTCTGGGTTGTCTGACCAGTTAATTCCACCGGTTATGATGAAGCAACTTTATGAATTATCCCCAGCTCGGACTAAGAGATTGGCGATATTTCCTGATGGAACTCATAATGACACTTGGCAGTGCCAGGGTTATTTCACTGCACTTGAACAGTTCATCAAAGAAGTAATAAAGAGTCACTCCCCTGAAGAAATGGCGAAAACATCATCTAACGTAACAATAATATAACTGATATTCTTCTTTGGGGTGAGGTGGGGGGAGTACCTGCACTGTACCTTGATTTGTGAAAAGTGGTAAAAGAATGTCCATTTTTAAATGTATGTCATGTCTGTACTTGCCTAAAGAGTGAAATTAAACTTGGAAAGGTCTGATGCTTTATTAAGATGTTCCAGATGACTTTTACATTTGCAACATTGTAAATGAACCATTTTCTGTCTTTCTCATACTTTTTTGGTATCTCTGTCCATATATTCCATTTGTTTGATATGTACAACGGACGCTATTAAAGGAACTTGCTACAAAAGTAGTATGGGATGTATTGGTTTAGAACAATTGGAGGCTCTTCAGTATTCACCGCCATATGTGTGAGCTTTTTGGTCAGTCATGGTTAGCACGATGATTTGTTGCTTCTCTTAGAGTTTATTTGAAGTGTGCCATGCATGAGATTAGTGTTTTATTCCTTGAAATTTTATATTATGCAAGGTGGGAAGTTTTTAATACGCTAAGTAATATAAAATAACATTAACAGTAGAGTATACTTGCAGGTATACTGTCCTGGGTTATTACTGTTTTTTTATGGTTATGCATACATACATATTTCAAACTGCACCTGAAGAGGAAAAGACACTTTCCCTGGTTTCATTTTACTGTTTGTATCATAATAGTGCCCAGAAAGTTGTATGTGCCTAAACATCATGGCTTCAGGATTTTTGCCCAGGCAATTTCTTCATAGAAAATAGGAGTAACTTTCAAAAAGGGAGCAGTGCAGTCGAAGCTCCTTCCTGCCCTAAGCTCTCCTCACTAATGTTAGATGTTAGTCTGCTTGTGCCTATGAGGCGGGTTTTCCCAGGGCAGAGTGGGTGGTGTGATAGAAAGGAGTGAGAAAGGAGTGTCGTACAAGGTACAGCTTTGTCTTTGTGTTTGCCTTTTTTTGTTGTTTGTTTTTTTTTTTTTTAGGCTGGTGTGGTTAAATGTCTGTCCCCTTTATTTATACCTCCAAAAGAAACACATCCAAATAATTACCAGTAATCACATGATAGGAGATCAGTGTATACAGTTGTTCCCGTAAGGATAACAAAAAATGAGCAGCGCATTAAAGTTAGTCAACCTAAGCTTAGTCTGAAAGAGGCGATGTTTAACGCTTTTCCCCACTTGCTTGCAAGAAGTCTTTGGCGGTTCTGTTGTACCATGTGGAAGTAGCCTCAGCAGCGGCAGAAGTGAGTTTTCTTTAGCTCTGCTGGGCTTTTTGGAGCTAGTATTGACATTTCGGAGGCAGCAGTGCTTATATTGAGAGAGTTTGATTATGACTGAATGTAGGGGTTCTTTTTGGTTTTAGGAGTCCTTGCCCTAGGTAGTCACATCAAAGCTGTATGCTGTTAGCGCAGACCGTATTGGAGTGTGGGGCTGTTTAAATATCTTCTGCAGGTTTAATTTCTCATTTGCTGCAGCTCATAGTTTGCCTCTTCAAAATACTTCTTTATGGGAAGAAGGAACTGTGGAAAATCTTCCACACGTTCTGTACAATTGCCCTTCGACTTGAAATTTTTAAGTAAACTTTTTTGCCATGTTGTCCTGATTCGGAAAAACATCTCAGCACACACTTAAAATCTGTTTCCTGATGGACAGTGATATTTTAAGCTTGTGCTTAATTTCTCTGGTTGAATAAAACTGCTTTCCTGAACTGGTGCCTTAATGGTTCCTAAAATGTATTACGTGGAACTACAGGTCTTAGGTACACATGGGTAATAGTTGTCAGCAATTTATAGATAGGGTGGTACATCTTTTCTTTATTTAAATGTGATTTTTTTAAAAATTTTTATTTTAAAATAAACATATACACACCAGAAGTTGCTGCTTTCTCTGGTAAGTATCTTTTGTCATACTATTATTAATAAGGTTTTCTTAGAGTTGATTGAAAAAGCTAGAGACTTTTTTGGATCTATAGACATAAAATTATAGAGCATAGTTTTAGATCTGAGTGAAACCAAAACTATCTCCTCAGCCTTCCAGTGGTGGGGTGTTTTTTGGGGGGGAGGTGGATGGGGCAGGTATATTGGTGAAGCTTGGTTGGGGACGGGGAGCTGTTCATATGGCAGAAGGGAGTCTATAGACACAGCATTCCCTTTCCCTGATGTGCTCCACAATGACGATGTGACCTGCTTGCATAGGTTGTTTGAACTGCTTCACATTGCTTTAGAGTTAAGGTGGAGGGAGAGAAGTAAAATAAGTGGGCAAATACTGATATTCTAAAAAATAAGTTGAGAAAGCCAAAAGAATGGGTTATTTGTTGGAGACTGAAGAGAAAGTAAATTGTTTCAGAAGTTGTCATAACTTGCTGTTAAATACCATTGGGTGTTTTTTTCATAAAGCGTTGATTTCTAAAGTAATGTGACTTTTTACCCCACTTTCCACCAATCAAAGACAAAAACCTCTGCCCCCAATACCCCCAGCAGTATGTGGCACTTACAAATGAAGTATTCTCACTTGGGCACGCAGTTGCAAAGTCAAATGTGTGGCATTAGGCTATGGCAATCTGGGGCTGTTCAGATTGGAGTGTATGTAAACATTACTTTTGATTAGCAAGCCATATCCTTTCACTGTATTGTCTGCAGGACATAGAGATGAAACTTGATTTTGCAAGTATTTGGTATGGGAGGGCACAATTGTCATATATGCATCCTTTACACTTAATGTGGTTTCTTCCACCTTCCACATGTGCACATTTTTACTTCTCCCTTGATGGGCTGGGTGCATACACTTGTGAATGAATGTCTGTTATTGCACTATCTTTCATTGTGTTGGTTATGAAATCCGCTGAAAAGAATAGGAAGGAGATGATTTTTTTTAATGCAAATATTCCACTGCTGCACATACAGTCTTTTAAGGGAGGGAGAAGGGGGAAGAAACTTGTTCTGGCAAGTCAAGGCTTGTTTTTATGTTGTGATCCCAGAGTTATCTGCTGTTAAAAGGTGAATTGCAAGCAACATGGTAGTAATAACTTTAAATTGCCAAAAGGTGTATTATGATCCTGTTGCATTTATTCCACTTAATACCATTATATGTTTTCCCTTAACAAGTTCTCCAGTTGCGTATAGGTGTTTCTCAAGTATTTGTCCTGTATATATAAATTTCTAGTTTGGGAAGAGGAAGTTAAGTTATTTTCACAGGTTTGTAAGAAAGCCTCTTGGTTTAAATATGCTTGTTAAAGGAATTGTCTCTTTTATAAGAGGAGCTTTAAGTTTGTTTTTTTTTTTTTAAAAAAAAAAATGACTGGGGGGATCAGGAGTTGATCTGGAACAGCTGTAGCAGTAGAGTCCTAAGGAAGCATCCAGTATAAGACTTTGTGTGTGCACATGTGTGTGGTTTTAATTAGTGGAAATTCCTGGTAACCCAAGTTTACATTCCCAGTATTTGTTTCTGAACTGTGAAATGCAGAGATAAGCTATGCTTTCATCTGAAGAAACGTTAACTAGTGTAGCTGCCCTCATGTCCATTTCTCAGGTAAAATTAGAAATAGAGCACAAATACATTTGGTAGGGTACGGACAATCTCTCAGTTGAAGGGCAGATGGATTAACTATTTATACAAAATATGCATATCAGCATCTCTAGGCCAATCGTTTGCGTCACGTTGGATGTTCTCAGTGAGGAATGCAAGGCTGCATTGAGAGTCCAAGGTATGGTCTCTTCTGCTAGCAAAAAGATGCAGACATACCTCCATTTGTATTTCATGATTCAGTTCTTGAGAAGTACGCTTTTATTTTTGTTGTTGACAGGTGATTTTGCTGGGGGCACTTCTGCCAAATATAAAAACAGTGCCTCTTGCATGTAGTGGGATCAGCCTGATGTATCCCATTAAGAATAATTTACAATGCCATCCTGCTTGCATAATTTAGAGTAGAACCCTGCAGAAGTGTAAATAGAGATAGCATATTGAAGTTCTAAATAACATTTGTGTTTTCAATTCAGAAACAGTCATTGAATATATGATGCAAGCTTTTTATTTGATTTTTCTTTAATGTATAGTTAAAGCAAAAACGTCTTATAAGGTATTCTTAAGTTTTGTAGACAAAGCGTAAATGTTACTGTATATGTGCTAATTGTGGCAAAGTTTTACATTCTCATTCTAGTCTGGTTTTTACAATAAAATTAATTTTACAAAAAAACACTTTTCTATTTTTATGTACTGACATATGCAATAAATTGATACATTAAAAGTGCTCTGTTATGTCTTGTTCTAGTTTGTGGCCTGTCTTCAGTATGTGTACGGGGGGTATTTTTTGTCTGTGTCGTGGCTGGTCAACCTCAGGGTATCGTTTTCAGTTACTTAGTAAAACCAGAGCACATGGAATAGACATCTCTGTTAGATGTGGCATTTGTGGAAAGCTACTCCAGGAGGGAAAAACTTACAAATTACTTATTTCTAAGCTTTGTCACGCATCACTTCTTTCAGGAACTGTTAATAAGTGAAACTGATAAGCAGTAGCTTTCCATCACTTTCTAACACATCCTGCATTTCAAACACATCCACACATCGCCCCCTCTGTTATCTGGGGGACCTAGAGATGGTCTAAATATTATGTCACTGAGGAAATATTTTTGAGAGTCTCTGACTAGTTTTACCACCTGTTGCTGATAATACTGTAAATGTCAATTTTAAATGCTATGGTGCTACTGTAGCATTTTTATGGTTAATTCATGTAGCTGCAGTGGGATACTTGGGCGGAAGCAATTTCTACTTTCTTACAGAGAAATGCATAACTAAGCTTGTATCACCTCTGCTCCCATTCTGCATGGTTAGTGTGAATACCCAGAAAATAAGGGTTTAATGCTGTCTTTTCTAAAGCTGCAAAATGTGCCCACTCTCCTGGATTACCGCAAGGCTTATAGTTCATTTTTAATCCAGTAAGTAGGTACCAGGGGTAGGGGGGTGGGTGGTACATTTTTATTCCGAATACCTATTGATTTTGAATGGAAAAAAGATATTTCTAATTCTTGAAAAGGAAGCAATGGAAGTGAAGGAGCAACTCAGATTTAGGTACTTCATGCAATTACTGCCCTTCTTGAATGAAAAGCAGTTTGCTGTCTTGGGAGCTGTGTCACTAAACCTCACTTGCTCGGTGCTACTGTGAAGAATACAAGTCTTGCGTTTGCTTTTTTCTTATTTTAAAATTGATGAGCAGCTGGGCTACAAAGTGCAACATAAAGTGTGTCCTGGAATGTCTCATGATGTTATATTCATTTGCTTAGTTGATGTGTATAGGCCTTCGTATCAGATAGACA